GAACATTTGCTTGCCTTCGATCTCTCCAAAGCATTTCTCCTACCGGGCGATGTGGTCGGCAGCGACCACGTCCCAGACACCCGGTTGGTCAAATCGTCGGTGAAGTCCATGGCCAGGGTAAGTCGGCGTTCTTTTTAATATTTCACAAGTGTTTGCTCGGTCCTTCTTGCTCGGTCCCCTTTCTCTAATCTACTTTGCTTTTGTGCAGGCCATTCAAAAACAACACTTGGTTTTGGAGCGCATCCACCGGCTTAGGCAGAAAGCCAATGACACTGCCAGCCAGGTTGAAAGCCTTCAAGCAGAGCTCGGCCGGGCTAAAGCTTCTCTCGAGATGGCCAACAATGATAATAACAGGCTGCTCGGTCAACTGAATGCAGCCGAGAAAAAACATAGCGAGCTCCAGGCCAAGGTTGACACTCTGAAGAATGAGAAGAGGAAGGCTTGCCGGGCTGCCAACAACGTGGGTTTCAACGAGGCCGAGAAGAATTACCAGAAGCAAGTCTTTGCAACACAAGACATATACTTCAAGGCTGGCTGGAAATCCGCTTGCGAACAGCTCGGCCAAAGTTCTGACACCGACGTATTTGCCAACCCTCCTCCAGCTTCTCTACCGGTCTACCTTGTGCCATATGCAAACGATGTTTTCAGCGCTTTACAGGCTGAGGCCGAGGAGGGACTTGAGGACAGGGACGGGGAGACAGATTCTGAGGAAGAAGAGGCCGAGGTGCCTGAGCAGCCCAGCAACGATGAGCCCGGCGCCCAAGAAGCAAGCCAAGCTATTGACCTTGATGCTGATGTTGCCGAGGATGCGTTCACCAATCTTTCCCCCTCAGTTTAGGTTGCTTTTACCTTGTTTTTGTATTTTTGCTATCAACTCTTTTGATGTAACCAGGCTCTGTCCCCTCCGTTTGTAATGAATTTCTTATCAATGAAAATTCAAATTTTTGCAAGTGTATGCACGGTTGTAATCAGTTCTGTCTTCAGCAAAACATCTCAGTATAACTCATCGAACCGGAATACATAACACGGTCTAAGCACTGCAACAGAACAAGACAAATTCATGAACCGAAGTAGCCATGAACCGAAGTAGCCACTTCGGCTGTAACTAAGTTGAACAAACCAACACTTCCAACCGGAGTAGATCATCTCGGTTGGGAATCCAAAGTTGGAAAAAACACCAACTCTTCCAACCGGAGTACACCATCTCGGTTGGGAGTCCTAAGTTGGACAAGACACCAACTCTTCCAACCGGAACACACCATCTCGGTTGGGAATCCCAAGTTGGACAAAACACCAACTCTTCCAACCGGAGTACATCATCTCGGTTGGGAATCCTAAGTTGGACAAGACACCAACTCTTCCAACCGGAGTACATCATCTCGGTCCGTAACATTAAAACAATAATTCAAGTGCCAAAGCAAAATGACTTCTATAATTTGACAAAAGGAATTACATTCTGCTTTGCAAGCCAAAAAATTGCTTTACAAAAAGAGGAAAGTAAAAAGCTTAAAAATAATACAATTTCAAGTTTGCCGCATTCCATGGCCGGGGTATGGCTCTTCCCTCTAGATCTTCCAAGTGGTAAGCCCCCTTGCCAGCCAGACCAGTGATCTTACCCCAACCCTCCATCACTCTCATCGCCGTCTCGGCCGTCAACGGAGCATTCCGACGACTCTCATCTTCTCTAAACGCTCTCTGTATCGCCGAATCAGTAACCTCTCTCATCTTCTCATCATCATCTTCTTCGTTGCTTTTTGTATCGATCGAAGATACTCCAATTTCTACGGGATTTGCATAACCGTTTGCAAGATAAGGAAAAACAGAATCATCGTTTGAATCGCCGTCAGAATCATCGTCTGAATCGCTGTCAGAATTCTGAATGTAGTCCAAAACAATTTGTTCACAACTGTGTTGTCGAAAAAATGTATTTTGTTCAGAACTATTTTGTCGAACAATAATGATCCTGTTAGCACTGTATGTCCGAACAAAATCTGTTCATCACTGTGTAACTTGAATCAATTCTAGACATAGAAAAGAAATGTATGTCCAATCATACATGTACACATGTTTGAGGGTAATGAAAAGACTATCACATTATGTACTAAGATTAAACATAGTAACTTGTTTTTAATTAAATGTTGATTCATAAAAATGAGGTCTCAAGGTTCCCCAGAAGGTTTTTGTATGAGACAGACAACCTGTATCATTGTATTGCTTTTCTAAGGGGAGGGGGAAAATGCTAACGACAAGCCCCAGCCCCCCCCCCCCTCTAATGCCTAATTATCAGGTTATATTTTGGAAGTGTTGTTTATACTTATAGAATTTGTGATTCTTCTTGTTTATTTCTGTATATCTGTGAAGGGTTTTTTTTTTCTTTTTTTTTGGATGGGACTGTTTATCTGTGAAATTGTGTACTATTTCATTCTAAATAACGCTGTTTTCTTCTTTTCTTTCCTTCTTTTTAAACCACAAGCTCTGCTTCTATTGTTTTTCCCTGCCTGTATTAAAATCTCCTGATTCAGTTTTTAAACTTGAAAACATAAAGAACTCTCTCTCTCTCTCTTCTCACAGGGAGTCTCTCTTGATGATTTGGAGATTTTGAGAGTTATATTTGGAATCTTTCCTACATATCGTGACAGGTAAAGATGCAAACGTCACATGAGCTATATTCAAAATTCTCTTTGGTTCTGTTAAACATATTAATTATTTTCTGATAATCAATACGTGAAAAGCTTGATAATGCATTAGGAAACACCTATATTTCCTATATGTGGAACGTGCTAAATAATGCTCTGGGTAATTTGTGTTCCCAATGTGCTCACATATATTCAGTTTGTAAATGTCGTTGGCTTATATTATTATTGATACATGCTGGGGTCTTCTTATACTTATCTTGCTTTGGAATTTTTTTGGGCATATACTCTTGCAATTTGACCCATTTCTCTTCTTAATTGGGAGGATTGATTCGACAGTCCATTGCCAGCAGCTTTTGATCGTGTTTTACAGGTTTTCTTTAAACCCTTTTCCAGCCTCAATCAAATCATGGCCATGTAGTAATGGAATGCATTAGTCTCACATTATTGTCCACTGCAGTTTGGTGATGCTAGTGGCATACAATCACCAGTTTCCTTTGGTGGTTTTGGGAGCTTGACTAGGCACCTTGGGAGATTATCAGCTGGTATGTAGATTCTTCCTGGGCGACGACCTTCCCCCCGGGGGTTTGGTGCACGCGGTATCTGCGTGTGAGGCATGCAGTAGGGCTTGGTGATACAGAACCCGTCATCGCCAGCACCGGGAGGTAATACCAGGGCAAACTGAGGGAACCTCGTGGTGCGCGCTAACTCCGCGGCGCGACCTTCTGCAGACTGGTAGTTTCCTCGGTTGGCATTGTGGGCGTCTCCATCTCATCTGCCCCGGCAATGTCGACCGGGCATACCGGATGAGTGCCAGGTGAGAACTCGCAACAAAATCGGCCAAGGTTTGGGCCTTGATTTGCGGTGCGCGGTCTGGAACCTTCACAATCGAACTGTCCCAACTCGACGCGTCATTTTAATACTTCGGCTTTGAAAAAGTCTGCGCGCTACGAACAAGGCCTTGAGGGGGAACTCGGTCAGTACGACGATGGGTATGGGCTTGAAACATAATTGTGCAATTTCCCTCGAAGCCCATCTCTAGTGGCCAACTGCAAGCTTTTCCAAGCGCAAGTACCTCGTCTGCAGCCGGCAGAAGGGTCTTACTTACGTAAAAAATTGGGAGGTGCTTAATTCCTTCAGCCCGGACTAACACCGCAACTTACTGCGTGCTGGGAGACGGCAAGGTAAGGTAGAGTTCCTCACCGGGCTCTGTGTAACCAACAGTGGCGGAGAAGACAAATAATCTTTGAGCTCGGCCAAAGCCTCGGTCACACTCGTCATCCCATGAGATTTGACTTCAATGCTTGAAAGAAAGGCGGCACGATCTGATGACGGCTTATCCTTAGCCGAGCTGGGTTGTTTCAATTCTTGCACGGCTCTGATCTGTGTAGGGTCCGCTTCGATGCCTCGGTTCGTGACTAAGAATCCCAAAAATTTTCCCGGATCCCACGCCAAAGGCACACTACTTCGATGCGTTCAAGCGCAGTTTTGTGCTTCTTCAGAATGGCGAACATCTCGGCTAAGTCGGACAAATGGTGTGCCCACATGTTGGCTCTTTACCACATATCATCGATGTAAGCCTCCATTGTCCGGCCGAGCAAAGGAGCGAACATTTTGGTCACCATCCTCTGAAAGGTTGCCCCGGCGTTTTTTCAAACCAAAGGCATAACTCGATAGCAGAAGAGTCCCCTTGGAGTCGTGAAAGAGGTGATTCTCTTGGTCAGGCCCATGCATGGCAATCTGGTGATAGCCGCGGTACGCATCCAGAAACTGAGCCGATTGTGTCCAGCCGTCAAATCCACTAGCTGGTCAATGCGCGGCAAAGGAAGCTGTCTTTTGGACAAGCTTGGTGACTGTCTTGTAGTCGACACAAACTCGCCACTTTCCATTTTTTTCTTGGGCACCACTACGTGTTGGAAATCCACCGAGGGTAGTGCACTTCCTGTATTGCTCGTGCCTCAAGCAAGTTCTTTACCTCCTCTGCCACTACCTCGGCGTGGATGCAGCGCGATCTCCTTGTTCGCTGGATGATTGGCTTTGCTCCAGGGAAGACATTGAGGTGATGGCAGATAAAGCTTGGGTCAGAGCCAGGCATGTCATAGGGCGACCATGCAAAGACTTCGATGTTCGCCAATTAAAAACTCAATCATCTCGGTTCTCTCCATAGCCGAGAGACTTGAACCGAGCAAGGAAGATCTGTCCGGCTGCTCGGCATCAATCCGCACCTCAACCAATTCTTTCAACTGCCTTGTCTTCTGCTTTGGTGCCAACATCATCCAAGAACCTCCGGTCCTCCGTCCCTCGATCATTTTGAACGAATCCTTTGGCAGCCCGGCTCCCGTTGACCGCCACGAAACACTGCTTGGACATGACCTGATCACCCCAAATCTCCTCGATTGCCCCCATAGCCGAGGGGAATCTCATCACCTGGTGGTAGGTCGATGCTACGGCGTTGCATGGCGTGAAGCCATCCTCTTCCAAGGATAAGGTTGTACGTTGAAGGCACTTGTAGCACCCAAAACTCTACTTGCTTGACCACAGATCCCGCTTTGGACCGGCAGGATAATCTTTCCCAATGGCCACTCCGGCTGCGAGTTAAATCCAACCAGTGGCGAAGTGGCCGGAGCCAAGTCTGTCTCGGGAGTTTGAGCTGTTTGAACGCATCAAAATACATGATCTCGACGCGAGCTTCCCTGATCGATCAAGATCCGTCTAACATCAAATTCTTTGACGCGTAGTGTTTACGACAAGAGCATCGTTGTGCGGCGTCTGGATACGCTCTAAATCTCTGAGGTGAAACTGATCACGTCTTTCTCTTCTGTCTTCCCCCTTTTGATGGCAGGTTGTACTGACAAAACCTCCCTCATATGCTCTGCCTTCTTAATCATGCCCCGGAGTTCACAAACACGCTCCGGTTCCACGATTCCGTGTGACATTAATAACTCCCTGTGGTGGTGCATCTCGGTCGTCCTGTCCCCTGGGATCGACCGGAGCCTGATTCGGTTTCACTCCGCATCAATGTAAAGGTCCAGATGCCCGGCCGCAACCAGTTCTTCCAAGTGTTGTCGCAG